AATTTTTGGGAGGAGCAGCTCTGATATCCCTGGGATCAGGGGCAGAATTTTGGGAGGAGCAGCTCTGATATCCCGGGAGCAGCATGGCTGGGGATGCCCCAGAGAAGGGGAGGACACACAAGAGGATGGAGATGTGTGGGAAGGGCCTGTCAGCAGCATCCTGTCCCTGGGGATGTGGGGATGCTCCTGTCCATGGGTCTGCACCACACTGGGGGTGTGAGGAAAGGCAGGCCAAGGGAGCTGATCCGTGAATTTATACATCCCACCAGGATGAGGCTGAGCTGTGGCACATCCCAGCCCATCCTGGAGCATTTTCCTGTGCTGGGGTGTGAGGGCCACCCCCAACCTCCAGCAGCATCCTGAGTGTGGAGGAAACGAGGAGCTGTACTGCAGCTTCTCACCCTTGTGTCTCATCCCAGGATGCTTGGCTCCCCCAAACAGCAACGGGGTGCAGACACCCCAAAACCCCCTGGGAGGGTCTCAGTGTGTCCCCAGAGCTGCTGAGGGCAGGGGTTGTCCCTCAGCTGAGGCAGGCAGGGTGGGGAGGGGGGGCTGCTGGGCCTAACCCCGGTGTCAGCTTAATGAAGTGCTGCTGTCAGTCCCGCGTGTCACGGCACAAACTCCTCCTGATGTGCTCATAAATCAAAGTGACGGCGCCTCCTGCCCCGCTGGCTGCACCCACTCAGCTGCATCTAATGCGGGAGATGCTGCAGACCCCCAGCCCCACACTGGGAATGGGCTGGGAATGGCTGGGAATGAGCTGGGAATGAGTGGGAATGGACTGGGAACGAGCTGGGAATGTACTGGGAACGAGCTAAGAATGGGCTGGGAATGAGTGGGAATGGACTGGAAATGGGCTGGGAGTGGATTGGGAATGTACTGGGAACGAGCTGAGAATGGGCTGGGAATGAGCTGAGGATGGGCTGGGAATGTGCTGGGAATGAGCTGAGAATAGACTGGGAATGGCTCAGGAATGAGCTGGGAATGTGCTGGGAGTGGATTGGGAATGAGCTGGGAATGTGCTGGGAATGAGTCAGGGGAGCCAAGCACAGGATTCTGCCTCCATACAGAGCCAGCTCCTCTGGGAGTGGCTTTTCCAACATGAATGGTAGTGGTGAGGATCACTGGGGTGTGGGATTTTTAGGGAAGCTGGGGCTGTCATCCAAGCTCTCCCCAGGCTGGTTTCTCCAGGGAAGGCTTGGCCTGGAGCCCGTGGGCTGGTGGGTGGCTCTGGCTCCCTTCACCCATCACTCAGGGGTTTAGAGGTCTGTGGTGCCACAGTTGTTCCCTAGGGGTGGCAGATTGGCTTCCCCACAGGACCAGGCCTTGGTTTGGCTTGGATTTGTGTTCCTGGGGCTGCTCCTCCTGTTCCTGGTGTGTGGAAGCTGGAGGGACATGGATTTGAGGCACATGAAGGTGCAGGTTCAACCTTCACATCACCACGTTCAACAGCGTCCCTGCCAGAGCCACGTGTGGGTCAGGGCTGCTCAGGGGGGCTGAATCCAGGTCAGGAGAGCCCAGGGATCATCCTGAGCTCATCCACTCCCAGCAGCACAGCCTGGAAGTGACGTGGATGAGGAGCATCCCATCCCATCCCATCCCATCCCATCCCATCCCAGCTGCTGTTTCTAACCAAAGCAAGGACAGTGTGTCCATCCCACATGGTGGCAGAGTTTCCCCCACCAGGAGGGGACACTGGGGGACAGAGAAGTCGCTGTTAAAGCCCTCGGGCACAGCCTGGTCCTGCCCCTTTTCCCTCCATCCTGCTGATCCCATGGCCTGGAGCCCTCGTGGCTCAGGAATCAGGGATTTCTCTTCACAGAGCAGGAATTGCTTTGATTTGTGCCTTGATCTTTAAGCCTCAGAGGTGCAGGGCTGAGACTGAGCCAGGGAGGATCCAGATGTGACTCTGGGGAGGTGATTCTGCTGTGGCCAAGGAGGACAGGGAGAGTCCACACATCTCTGAGGCTGAGAAACTGGAATTAAACTCGGTCTGTACCCTGGAGAGGGCTCTGGTCATGCCTGATGTTGCAGAGAGGGGTTTGGAGCCCATCCTCACCCTCTGATTCACAAAGCCAAGGCTGAGCATCCACAGGGATCCACCTGCACCCCGTGGGGGGCTGACCCCAATCTTAGTCCTGGATTGGGATGGTCCTAAACTGGGTCATGGATTGGGATGGTCCTAAACTGGGTCATGGACTGGGATGGTCCCAAACTCGGTCATGGATTGGGATGGTCCTAAACTGGGTCATGGATTGGGATGGTCCCAAACTCGGTCATGGATTGGGATGGTCCCAAACTCGGTCATGGATTGGGATGGTCTTAAACTCGGTCATGGATTGGGATGGTCTTAAACTCAGTCATGGACTGGGATTATACCAAACTCAGTGATGGACTGGGATGGCCCCAAACTCGTTCACGGACTGGGATTGCCAGGGAGTCTCTGCTGTTCCCTGTTGATGCAGCCTCAGGGATCACCAGCTCCCTGGAATTCCCAGTGTGGGGGGATGTGCCCTGAATCCCCACGGTGCTCACAACCAGGGACATCCTGCCTGCAGAGCTCCTGTGCTCCTCAGTGAGAACACAAACATGGGAATCCTCCTTTGGGGGGGCTGCAGAGTGCAGCGAGGGGGGGATGTGCCCCAGCCTGGCTCCTCGCTCCCTGCCAGCACCGTCTGCCCAAACAGGGGGGTTTGGGGGGGGTTCACGGGGTCACGGAGCCGCCTGCCCCACTAATGAGGCCGGGCAGCCCCGGGGCAGCTCCCCTCTCCCAGCCAGCTCGGATTAGCAGCTGCCTGTCCCCAGCTCTAATTGAATTCTCTCCCCTTCACTTAATTCTCATGGATTTCTCGGCGCCTCCCCAGGGACCTGTCCTGCCTAACTAGTTTAGGGCCAGCAATGCTGGTCAGAGCCTGGCCAGCTCCGGGGGGTGGGGGGAGAGTCACCTACTTGTGGGGTGGCTGTGATGGGGTGGGAACACTGGTCCTGGCACTGAGCACCCCCTCCCCTCAGTTTCAGCCCCTCACCACGGAATGACTGTTTGTCATTTTTGACAAACAGGGATAAATTTCTGCTTTACAAGAGGGTTCTGTGCCTGTTGCCTGCTGGGACCCCCCTTTTTTTTACACCCTCCCATGGGACCCCCCCAGCTGGGCTTCACGAGTTCCTCCCAGCACAGCTCCTCTCTCTCTCTCTCTCTCTCCCTTTCTTCCCAGCGCTTTATTTTTCCCTTCCCCTTTTCCCTTTCCTTCCCCTCCTCTTCCGATAGATCAAAGCCTCCGTCCGGCTCAGCCGGGAGCTGAGCAGGCCCCGCAGCAGGATGGAGGCACAGCCGAGCACCGTGTCCCTTCCCCTGTCACCTCTCACTGCCAGCGCCCCTCACCACCCCCCTCCTGCCCTGCCAGGCCGGGAATAAAGCCTGGATTTGGGATTTGTCCTTCCTTTTGTCTCGGCAGCCGTTGGGGAACAAGCAGCTGGCCTTCCAGCAGCAGCTCCTGCAGATGCAGCAGCTGCAGCAGCAGCACCTGTTAAACCTGCAGCGCCAGGGCTTGGTGAGCCTCCCTCCAGGGCAGGGCACGGTGCCCCTGCAGACCCTGCCCCAAGGTAAGGACACGGCCTGAGGGGGTTCTGGCGTGTGCTTGGCCCGGTTCTGGGTGAGGGCGGGTGGGGAGGGGCTGTGGTGTTGGGGTTTGTGGTGCCCCCAAAGTTTTGGGGGGGGTGGTGTCAGCGGAGCCGTGCGGGGTTGGGATCCGGGTTCCTGTGGCACCTGTGGCAGGGTCGGGGCACCTCTTCCTCTGGAAGGGATTGCCAGGATTTGGGGCACCTCTGGCAGAGGGGTGCAGGATTTGGGGCACCTCTTCCTCTGGAAGGGATTGCCAGGATTTGGGGCACCTCTGGCAGAGGGGTGCAGGATTTGGGGCACTTCTTCCCCTGGCAGAGGGGTGCAGGATTTGGGGCACCTCTTCCTCTGGAAGGGATTGCCAGGATTTGGGACACCTCTGGCAGAAGGATGCAGGGTTTGGGGCATCTCTTCCTCTGGCAGAGAAGTGTCAGGATTTGGGTCACCTCTTCCTCTGGAAGGGATTTCCAGGATTTGGGACACCTCTTCCTCTGGCAGAGCAGTGCCAGGATTTGGGAAGCCAGGCTCTCCCCGCTTCTGGGAACAGCTCTGTGGGTGCTGCAGGTGCCTTGGTTTGTGTTTCCCAATGGGGCCGTGCAGCCTCCCCTTGCTGTGCCCAGCTCCAGCTGACGTTCTCCCAGGGCTGGGTGAGATTTGGGGAGTCAGGGAGCAGGGAGGAAGCCCTGGGTGCTGTCCCTGCTGACGTTGGTCACTCTCCTGTGCCACAGCTGTTTGCCCCTCAGACCTCCAGCAGCTCTGGAAGGAGGTCACAGCCTCCCAGCCCGTCGAGGACAGCATTAAGCAGGAAGGTCTTGACCTCACCACCAACACCTCCAACTCTACCTCGTTTTCGGCCGCCAAGGTCTCGCCTCCCATTTCCCATCACCCTCTGCCCAATGGACAGAGCACCATGCACACGCCCAGAAGGGACAGGTAGAGCCGGGTCGGGCCCTGGCACTTTGTGTTTTTATTCCTGGAGAGGTGGAAGGGGCTGGGATCCATCACCCACAGGGCTGGGAGGGCTTGGGGGGGTTTCTGCCCACCCCATAAGAGAGGCCTGGCACTGTTTTGCTGCGGCCACAGGGGACGGGGGGCTGTCACTGTGGGGTCTCCCATGGGTGCCCCCATGGCTGGGAATGCTGGAGCATCCCCATCTGAAGATCCCTTTCCCTCTTGTGCAGCTCTTCCCACGAAGAGACCCCCGGCTCCCACCCACTCTACGGCCACGGAGAGTGCAAGTGGCCTGGCTGCGAAACCCTCTGTGAGGACTTGGGGCAGTTTGTCAAGTAAGTGTCACCTTTTTGGGGGAGTTTTGTCTGTCTCAGGCTGGGGCTGGTGGAGGGGAAGATGCTGGGAGTTGGTTCAGACATCCCAAAGTGTGTACCCAGAGCTGGGTGACCACGTGGAGAAAACACAGCAGGCATTGCTGCTGCTGCTGTCCCGTCCTTGGAAGTGTCCAAACCTGGAAGGTGACCCTGCCCATGGCAAAGGTGGAATGGGACGAGCTTTATGAGCGCTTCCAACCCAAACCATCGCATGAGTGAATGATGTGGAGGAGGCCAGAGGCCGGCAGCAGGCGAGGGGGGCTGGCAGGCGTGCTGGGGGGCGCGGGGGGAGGCAGCAGATGGCAGATGGCACCGCTGACACCGCTTGTGGGCTCCGGCGCTGACTGATTAACTCTGCTGTCGGAGAGCCCTCTGCTAGCGTCAGGGTCAAACAAATTGTTTTCACGCTTCGTCAGAGGTTTACTTAATTAGTTCATTTGCAATTAGATCTCTTTGTAGCCAGGATTTTTAGCAAAGACATCAGAAGGAGCTGACGGGCTGGCGGGCTCCTTCCCCCGCCTCCCCCGGCTGTCTGCTCGGCGAGCACCGCGCTCCGCGCCCGCCGCGTTTTGGCCTTTTCCAAACTCATCCTCTGGCCTCTGCCACGCTCTGGGCGCTGGCTCTGGTGGGAACATCCCTTGGACTGTGCCAGGCCACTCTTTCCCAGGCCAGGAGCTGAGCAGAGGCCTTGCCCAGCAGGGTGAGGAGGTGCAAAGGCAGCCCGGGGATGAGTGAGAGGATGATTCAGCCTCCTGTGTCCTCCTTCCTCTGAGTCATGGGGTGAACCCAGATAAGGCATCTCCTGCTGCCTGGCAGGACATGTTCCAGTGGCACGGGGCAGATGAGCAAGCTCCAGGCTGGGAGCTGGAGCTGGAGCTGGCAGGGAATGCCCAGGGCTGGGTCAGGGGGCTGGCAGAGCCTGTCCCACCTCCCTGCCCCCCTGGACAAGCGTTTCTGTCCCCTCCCTGCCATTGTGGGCACGTGTTGGGACAGACAGACAGAAAACTTGCAGCTCCCCAAGGCCAAGCCCAGCCTGGAACCTGCCTGGAGTCTGGGCAGCAGCTTGGAGCCTCCTGTGAGCCCCCAGTCCATGGAGGGGCTGGGCTGGGCTGGGAGGGGCAGCCCGGCCTTGGTGGTTGATGAGAGTGAGAGAAATGAGTGGGAAATGGCTCTGGTGGTTTTTTTTCCCCCTGGAGAAGCAGCCGTGGCCGTGCAGGGAAAGGAGCAGGGCTGGGGCTCTGGGGGCTTTGCTCACGGATGGGTTTGGCAGCAGGGCCGGGCTCCCTGACTTGTCTGTGCACGCTGGGGCTGGAAGAGGCTGCTGCCATCCTCCACATCCGGAGCCAGCCTGGAGAGGGCTCCTGAGGCGCCTTCTCCTGGGATGTCTCAGCCTTAATCCTGGCACACGGCCCCTGGCACCCTTTTGGGGTGTTCCAAGGGTGGCATCTGCCCAGAATCCCCCTCCAAACCATCCCACTCCTCCAGTGAGGAGCCCCAGAGGTTTGTGCCCACCCCAGCCTGGCCATCCTCGGGGCTGGCTGTGTCCCCAGGCTTTGGGACGAGGATGTCCCTGGCTCTGCAGAGAGTGACAGCCCTGTCACCAGGAGCCCTTCCCCTCCCTGAGGAGGAGGGAGAGTGTCCTGGAGCAGAGGTCCTGGTGCTTCCTAAACAAAGAGGCAGGGAAGTGCAGGGTGGGGAGCAGCCTGGCAATGCCACCTTCTGCCCCCAGGGCTTCCCTTAGCACGTGTGAGGCAACCTCCCATGGCTGCCTTTGTCCTGGAACCTGCTCCTCAGGTCCTCCTGGCACCTCGTGCCAGCAGCCTGCTCCAGGAAAATCCTGGACTTTCTGGGCTTTCCCTCTGCCAGAGGCTGCTCCTGAGCACCCTGGGGCTGGGTGTCCTCCAGGCTGGGTTTGGGGTGGTGGCACAGCCTGCTTTGCTCAGTCACCTCCGTGCCTCAGTTTCCCTCATGCTCACCCCGCTTTTTCCAGTGGTCCCAGAGCATCCCTGAGCAATTTCCAGGTGGGGGCTGATTCCAGGTGTGGTCCCAGCAGAGGGGCAGGGTGTCTCAGCCACCCTCCAGATCATGGTGGTTCTGGGAGCCCAACTTTGGGGTGCTATTTTTGGCGAGGCAGTTCTTTAAATAGTGTTTTTCCCAGCCCCTCCAGGCCGGGTTTGGGGGTGGTGGCACAGCCTGGCTTGCTCAGTCACCTCCGTGCCTCAGTTTCCCTGGTGCCCATCCCACTTTGGCCAGCAGTTCCAGAACATCCCTGAGCAATTTGCAGGTGGGGGCTGATCCCAGGTGTGGCCCCAGCAGAGGGACAGGGTGTCTCAGCCACCCTCCAGCCCAGATTTGGGGTGGTGGCACAGCCTGGCTTGCTCAGTCACCTCCGTGCCTCAGCTTCCCTGGTGCCCATCCCGCTTTGGGCAGCGGTGCCAGAGCATCCCTGAGCAATTTGCAGGTCAGGGCTGATCCCAGGTGTGGCCCCAGCGGAGGGGCTGAGTTTTGGGCATGCCCAGGCCTAACCAAACCTCTCTGTTCTCCTCCCCAGACACCTCAACACAGAACATGCACTTGATGACCGAAGCACGGCCCAGTGTCGAGTCCAGATGCAAGTGGTACAGCAGCTGGAGATACAGGTGGGTGTTTCACCCCAGCCCCCATGGACACGGGGACAAAAAGCCACTTCTTTGTCACCCTGTGCTTTGGCTGCTCCCCTCAGGAGAGGGTGACAGGGTTGGGGACTGTAACCACCCACTGAGGACTCGTTTTAAACACCCTTCCCAAACAGGAATCCTGCATCCAGGTGGAAATTAAACCCCCAGACTAGTTCCTCTCTCACCCCAAAGTGCCCCTGTGGGTAAAAGGAGGTGCCAAAGATGAGGAAGGAAGGCAGGTGCTGCCAGGAGGGTTTGTCCCCACATGGGCTGTGCCACCTCCCTGGGAGCCACGGGGCTGCTTGGAAACCAGGCCACTTAATTTTGGTGGCTGAATGTGGTTCTGGGAGCCCAACTTTGGGGCGCTATTTTTGGCAAGGCAGTTCTTTAAATAGTGCTTTTCCCAGCCTCTGCGAGCCCCCAGCGTGCTCTGCATAATTCGGTTAATGGAGAAGGGAGGGGGGAAAAGAGGGGAGGAAATGGGGGGGTCAGAAAATGGGATGGGGCAGGGGGTCACCCCCTCCTGGGGCTGGCAGGAGCTCAGGGTGCTGTGTGGCCATGGCTGTGTGTGACACCACAGGGGACAGTGGCCAGGACAAGATGTGCAGCACCTTTAGGACCCCCCACCCAGATTTAGGGGCCTTGCAGGGGCTGTGGGATGGCGGGGAGGGGGGACACAGCCAAACCTTGGGGCGGCTGTGGAGCTGCATCCTCCCGGGCCATCCCTGCCATCCATCCCGCTGCTGAGCCAGGGGTTGAAAGCAATTACTGCGGCTTAAAGAGAGGAGGGAAAGGGAAAAGGGGAGGAGGGAAAAATATAATAATAATTAAAAAAAAAAAAGCTGAAGGGTGAGAGCAGAGCTGTGTGTGCAGAGAGGAACCTGCCACGGAGCCACCAATTAGAAAGTTTGGAGCGCGGAGCTCCCGCTGTGCCGGCGCGGAGCGTCTGCATCACGAGGGGAGAGCTGTCAGCTCTAATGAGCACCGCGGCTGCAGAAAGCGCCAGAGCTGCTCCAAACTTGCTGCAAACTCCGCTCTGCCTCCTGCTTTTAACCCCTTCCTCGCCTCGCTCTGCCAGGGGGGGCTTGGCTGGAGCGCGGGGACCCCCCGAGCTTGAGGGGTGCCGGTGGGAAGGGAAGGTGACGGCGAGGAGCAGAGTGTCAGATCCCATCGGAGCTGCCGGGCTCAAATCCTCTCGTGGTGCCACAGAGAATATTTCAGCCTTGTGCTCACTCCGGGGAGGAAACAGGCGGCAGGGAGCAATTACAGCGATGTGGGAACGCGGGGGATGGACGGACAGACGGATGGACAGGGAGCTGCTGGGGAGCAGCAGGAGGGCAGAGGGGACAGGAGCACCCAGGGCTGTGGTGGGTGGCAGCTCTGGGAATGGCTCTGTGGATTTTTCCCAGTGCACTCACAGCCCCTGTGCCCCCCATGGTGGGTACAGCAGCCCCACTGGGGAGCCAGAATCAGGCAGGAGGTGGCACCTGGGGGGACACTCTGAGGGGTGCTGCCTGTCCAGACCAGGTTTGGGGGCTCATGGCAGCTCCTCCAGGCCGTGGGCACCTCCGTGGTGACTTTGTCACTGTGTGACCGTCCCCCTCCTGCTTTCTGCCTCCCCCAGCTGGCCAAGGAGAGCGAGCGTCTCCAAGCAATGATGGCCCATCTTCACATGAGACCTTCAGAGCCAAAGCCTTTCAGCCAGCCTGTAAGCGTGAGTCCCTTCCTGCCCTCTATGTCCCCACCCCGACAGCTGCTGTCCCCTGCCTGCCCTGGGCACGCTCACCTGGTGGGCTCGGTGGGATGGATGTGCCCTGGCCACCCCCTGGCACAGCCTGGTCCCTTGTGCCACGAGCAGGAGGGAAATGCAGCTGCTCCACCAGCTCTGACATGGAGTGGGTGCACCTCCATCCCATGGGTGCATCCCCATCCCATGGGTGCTTCCTATCCCATGGGTGCATCCCCATCCCATGGATTCATCTCCATCCCAGGGGTTCATCCCCATCCCATGGGTGCTTCCTATCCCATGGGTTCATCCCCATCCCATGGGTTAACCTCCATTCCATGGGTTCATCCCCATCCCATGGGTCCATCCCCATTCCAAGGGTTAATTCCTATCCCATGGCTTCATCCCGTGGGTCCACCCCCATTCCATGGGTCCATCCCATGGGTTAATTCCCATCCCACCAGGTTCATCCCCATCTCATTGGTTTATCCCATCAGTTCATCCCCATGGGTTAATTCCCATCCCACGGGTCCATCCCCATCCCACGGGTCCATCCCACTGCTGCATCCCCACCCCCTGGCTCCATCCACCCTTTCCAAGCCCACCCGTGCCCCCTGCCAGCCCCTCCCTGCCTGCTTTGGCTCCTCCCGCATTCCCGGGGCTCTCCCGACCCCAACCCCATTCCTGACCCCCATCCCCTCCCTGCCTGTCCGTGCAGCTGAACCTGGTCTCCAGTGCCACCCTGTCCAAGAGCACTTCAGACACGTTTCCTGACGGTTTACCTCATCCCCCCACCTCGGCCACGGCGCCCATCACCCCCCTGCGGCAGGGCCCCTCCGTCATCAGCTCTTCCACTTTACACAACGTGGGGCCCATCCGCAGGAGGAACTCGGAGAAGTTCTGCACCCCCATCTCTTCAGGTGAGCTCCGGGCCGGGGCTCAGCACCCTGTGAGGGGCACAGTGGGTCCCTTCACCCCCCCCTCCGTGTTTGTTGTCCCCCTGCAGAGCTTGCACAGAATCACGAGTTTTACAAAAACGCCGACGTCCGGCCGCCCTTCACGTACGCCTCGCTCATCCGGCAGGTGAGAGATCCCTGAGCCAGCTCTGCACCCCCAAAATCCTCCCTGAACCCCATCTCTGCCCCTCGGGATGTGTCCAACCCCACGAGTGACAGCCTTGTCCCCTCTCTGGCTGCCCAGGCCATCCTGGAGACCCCCGACAGGCAGCTAACGTTGAATGAGATCTACAACTGGTTCACGCGGATGTTCGCCTACTTCCGGAGGAACACGGCCACCTGGAAGGTGAGAGCAGCCCTGCCTGCCACCCTGGGCTCTGCCCAGCCCATCCTGGCATCTGCCCATCCCACCCCAGCCTCACCCCATCCCACCCCAGGCTCACCCCATTCCACTTTGGGTCACCTCATCCCACTCCAGGCTTACCTCATCCCACCTTGGGCTCAGCCCAATCCATTCTGGGCTCAGCCCATCCCACAGCAGGTTCACCCCATCCCACCCCAGGCTCACCCCATCCCGCTTTGGGTCACCCCATTCCACTCCAGGCTCACTCCATCCTGCTTCAGGCTCTCTCCATCCCACCTTGGGCTCACCCCAACCCACCCCAGGTTCACCCCAACCCACCCCAGGCTCACCTCATCCTAACCTGGCTTATCCCATCTCATCTTGGGCTCACCCCATTCCCCCCAGACCTCACCCTAACCCACTCCAGGCTCACCCCAACTCACCCCAGGCTCACCCTATTCCCCCCAGGCCTCACCCCATCCCACCTGTGCTCACCCCATCCCACCCAGACCCTGCTGCTGCAGGAGATGCTCCTGTGCTAAAGGACCAGTTGATTGCCCAGCTCTAAAATGATGCAGGAAATGATTTTAGGACCAAATCCCACTTTTTTTTTGCCCCCCAAACACCTCTCTGAGCTGTGGGGATGCATCATCCCTGCAGTGGGATACAGCAAAGGGCTGTGTGGTGAAATCCAGGGATTTTCTGTGGAGTAGAAGGGCAGAGGCAGGAGTGAGAGACTGGAAATAGCAAATAAGGTTAATGATAACCTGGGGGCAGGTGACACTGCTGGTGGCTGGGAATGCAGGTCCTGATCCTCAGGGAGGGATGAGAGGGGGTGGCAGGGGGACCATCAGCAGGGGATCCCCTCTGCCACCCCCCAAGCAGCTGCCTGTGCCCATCAGGTCCCCCCCCACCCCTCTCACAGGCAAATTTTTTGTCACTGAGGAGGTTTTGTCACCAGCCTGGGCTGGTGGAGTGAATTTTGGGGCAGCATATGAGTGCTGGGGCTGCTCCCCAAAATTCACTCCACCAGCCCAGGCTGGTGACAAAACCTCCTCAGTGACAAATTTTTTTTTTTTTTTAAGAAATCAGAGCTGGGAAAAGCCATCTCAGAGGAGCAGGGGGTGTGGAAGGAGCAGTTGTGTGATTCTGTGATTCTGTGATTCACTTCTTGCCTCCATCAGGGAAGATTTATTTATTTATTGTTTCCTGCTGCACATATTTACCAAGAGGCAGCTCAGCTCCCTCCTGCTCGGGGCAGCAAGGAGTGAAGTGGCAAAGGGAAACCTGCTAGTTCAAATAAAAATAATTAAAATCAGCAAGGTGCAAGTGAGATGGAGCTTTTGGAGAGGCTGGAGGAGGAGGAATCCATTCTCCAGGAGCTCAGGGCCCCCGTGTGTTGCTGCTGCAGATCCAGGCTGTGCTTTTAGGTGGATAATCAGGAATTTTGGCAAATTTTAGAATGGGGACAGGGTGGCAGCAATGGGACAGAGCCCTCTGTGGCCATCACTGCTCCCAGGGCCTCAGTTTTCCCCTCTGCAATGAGATAATGGCAGGTCAAAATGCCTTTTTCCTGCCTTTTTATTGCCAAAAGGAATAAATATTTTGGGGTTTTTTTTTTGCAGTTTGCACATGCCCCATGTTAGCATGGGCAGAGTTGGACAAGGGCATCCCTCAGTTTCCTGCTTCCCTTTTTTTATTCTTTATTTTTTCGTGTTTTACCACCAAAAAGGGAGGGCAGGGGATTGAAAAGAGCTGAGGAGGGGAGGGATAATTCCCTTCACAATTTGCAGTGTCCAAGGCCAGGCTTCTTCTGAAGGAGGGGGATATACAGGAAAAAATAACACATTTCCTCTCCTTGAAAACCACTTTTCTGGGGTTTTTCCCTCATTTTCTGTAGGTTCCCCCCAGGATGGGACAGAAATGCTGGGGACCAAGGTGGGGAAACCACAGGGAGACCCCAGCAGGGCCCAGGGAGTGGGTGGAGGGTGCAGAGCAAACATCATTAGAGGAGAGAGATGAGAAGCAAACAGAGCAGCTGGGCCTGGCTCTGAGCAAACACGGGCTGGAAACACAAAAGCCACCTCAGGCTGAGGCAGGGGACACGTCCCCTCTGCCATGGGGGGGGTCCCAAACTGGGGGGCAGGCTTGGGACCCCCTGTGTGACTTGGGAACAGCACAGGCATGGGGCATGCCAGGCTGCAGGATCACATCCTGCCCTCTGCCAGGGTTTATTTTATCCCCACCTGAGCCTTCCCAGGCTTGTCCCCCCCCGGTGACTCGGAGCAGGAGGTGTCACCAGGGCCAGCAGGGGACGTGGACACTGTGGGCAGGGAAGGTTCTGGCTGTGCCACGCTCCTGGATGCAGCCAGGGACTGTTTGGACAAAAGGAAAGAGGGAGTGTGGTGAGGGAGGGACGTCCTGTGTGTGCTCCCAGGGGACAGGGACAGGGACAGGACCCAGCCCTGGGGTGAGGACAGAGTGGGGGATGAGGGCTTGTCCCACTCCCTTGGAATCCCAGGTCCCTGGGGTGTCTCTCTGTATCCCAACCCCCCTGGCTGGGTCATGCCAGTGCAGAGTTTGGGGCTTAAGGGCATGGCCCAAATGGAGAGTGTCCCCCTTTGGGTGACAGTGGCACCAGGCTGGGACCCAGGGCCTGGCTTCAGCCACACCAAGTGTCCCCTGAGGAACTGAACCAGGGCCCTGCTGGATTCCCCCAAAATGCCACCAAGCAGCGCTGACTGGGCTGGATCTCCCTCCCCAGGGACACGGGGAGCTGCTTACAAAATGTCCCCAGGGCTGAGAGGAGCCTGTCCCTGCTGCTTGTCACCGTGTCACC